CCAGGCCGGTTCTGCTCTACATAACTTGGTCAGAGATAACTTCTGGTTCTCTTTTCTGCATCCAATGGCAAGATCTTGTTACTGTTGCATGACAGTAAGTGCATAAGAGAACAGAAATAAAAGTAATACATCCAGGCTTCCTACGGGCCACAGTAAGTTTCAATTCAGCAGCTTCAAGGGCGTGCCACAGAGAGTTCCGTCGATTTTAGAAGGCGGTGCTTTTAAAGCGGCCTTCGTACGTTAAAACGATCGGGCAATGGGTCTTGTATCTCAGCATCTGTCGTAGAGAAAATAAAAGAAGGAAAAATTTGCAATTGTTTGTCGCTAATCAGGAATAGCGATCACTGCCACAACACAACTTTCTTCCATATACACAAGACATAACGAAACTGGAGGTAGTGCACTGCCTCAACAAGAAAATTATTTGAAAATCGCTTCCAAACATTCGTTAATTGGCACCAAAGTGTTTGGAAACGATTGAAACACACATACCAAATATTCCTGGATGATGTTATACTTTTCACTTTTAGAATATCAGTTTAATAAGATGATTAGACGATTATTTCTTGCAGTCCACTATCTTTCTTAGTACTTTTTCGCTCGTTGGAAAATTCAATTAAATACGCACGCAAAATTAACCTAATAGGACAACATACGTATATAATAATTACTAAGAGTGCATTCATTACATATGCGCGATACACGAAATAATCATGCTCCAAATTTCAATGCAGTTTCTTATAAGAAAAACCCAGGTGAAAAATTTGATATTTTAGCTAGAGTGTGAGCAACGTTACTTTAAAAAAGAAGAAGACAGAAATCAATTATATTTACCTCTCAGACTTTGCACTATAGTTCTGAATTCATAACACTACTGTTATAAAATCTGAACTTCATATGTCGACAATGCCATGACATGACATCAGTTGACACTCCAGAATGGTAGATGGCGTGGATATGGCAGTACAAGTTCTTCAGTGTTCCCGTAAGTACTAAACAACTCTCACGATACATAACTTGGATACAGTGAAAATTCGATGTGACGCCAAGGTACTAATAGTCCATTACCATCATCCAAAATTCGAAATGAGTATTCCATTACTGCCTTCAAGTCTGGGAGCGAAGTCAGTCACATCCAGCGTTAGTGGTTTATCAGCAACGCTTCACTAGATGGTGGGGGAAAACAGAAGTTTTAAAAGAACAGGCCACACACACATCTTCTGTCCGCTTTAAGGCGGACCCCTCTTTGTCCACTGCATTACGTTTGACGCAGAAAAACACAGAAAGACGCAATCTTCTACCATAGAGCCGCCCAATCCATTTCACGCGCCATCCCCAGCCAACCAAATCCACAGCACACTATCTCACATTGCAACTGTTCTGAACATCTCGAAGCACTGTAACCATGACGACACAGCTGACCATTTCAGAAACTATGATAAAAAATAGCCTTCAAGTTACAAGTGGGCAGGGTAACCTGCAACAGTACCATCGTAGTGAACGGTAAAACTGACTCAGAACACAAATAATGTAATAATATGCATCACGCACCAACCAAATCAACGTTCATGTAGATCAATTTATTTACATTCTGATTTGCACTCTCCTTCACTAGAAATTTATGTCCTACACAAAAAAACCTCATGTGAACCAAACGTAGTTAAAAATCTCTGCAATTCAGACTCGCTTCCCTCAGAGGTCAACTACCTCCATCCTTGTCTCCCATTAAATGACAGTGTCCCTTAAGCTACCAAACCATAGACATTCATTCTGACAAGTCAGGCTAAACATAAAATGCATGGCGTTAAGCATGTTGAAGAGCAGTCCATGTATCTGAAAGTGTAATGCCATAATAGCAGATACAAAGAGCCACAACTGATGCAGGTTAGGAAATCAATTCAAATATCATAAATGAATAACCAGCTACAATGGATGGCACATGGTTATCCTCTTCCACACTGAGTAAATCTGAAATTAGTTTTTTGAAGAATTGCTCCAACTCCATACTTGTCACTTTACACTCACTCAAAATCAATCACACACAAAATATTGCTAAAATATAAAATTGTTATAAATTTGATTTGAAATGGTTTTTATTAACAACGTACTTATGCAACAGTAAGATAACTGAATTATTACACTGCAACCCACATACCCTGGTAACTCAAACATTCACATCTTACAAAGTACCAAACCAATGGACCTGAAGCAGAAAAAAAAACGAAAGAAGGAAAAGGACCTGGAGGGAATCAGAGGGTACATCAAATCCACATGCAATTCTGTCAATGCTTGGTAACAAATCCATATTCCCCAAGAAACACAACACACATGCACACATGCGCACACATCTTGAAAAGCATATTTCAGACACAGATACCATCTTAAAATGTATGATGGGATGTAAAGCAACAGTTAAAACATTAAATTTAAATATACATAACTGGGGAGGGGGGAAATGCCATAATGCTCTTCAGTGTCCAAGACGACATGGAACTTTGGTTTTGAAGAAGTCCTGTCGAAATACATTCTTTCCACAAGTGAAACGAATGAACACAATGGGGAAACCATGTCTGGCTGTCTGTCCTCATATTTCATCTTTGAAATTACTGATCAGATTTCAATTAAATGTAATGTTGGGGTAGTACATTAACATTTCTCATGAAAATTTAATATTGGTTTGTATTAGCCAAAAACATAAAGCCTACTTTGCATAAACCTCAAATAGAATGTAATTACTTTCTCAAAAATATATATTTGGAGTTGACAATTAATGACAGTACACAATGCTCAGGGATTCAAGACAATACACATTTAACACAATATGTAATTAATAGTAATGTAATAAAGGAATTACATGAAAAGCTCAACAAAACACTTACAAGACAAAAATGAAAATACTGTAGTATACGGCTTATAAGTATTTAATTTTAAGATGCATATAAAAAAACTGGCAGTGGAATTTTTGGAGGCTAGCATCAATAAATTCCACTATGTAATTGTATAAAAAATTCTTTGTATAATGCTGTTTTGAAAGGGGAAAAAACAATTAAAATGACACAGATATGTCCAAAAAATGTAATACAACAGATGGTCCAAACAAGTCTTTTAGTAGAAGGAAGAATGAAAGATACATGGATGGAGGGAATTGAAGGATGCAGTGGATGCTTAAAGATGAACAGCAGCTGGAAACTGTCTGCAATGTTGAGGAACTAACACATATACACAAACACATATTAGCTACATTACATGCATGCATTGTACATAACAAACAGTACAGACCTACTTAAGACCAACAACTTTTACTTCTTTTCTGTACAGCGGATACTGAATGAAATAAAAAAAATTATCATATTATGCAATGTAAACAGTTCTGCAACAACAGATTTGTATTTGAAACATAAAAAAGATAATTTACTACTATCATTCACAATTGTTTCTGCTAATGAAGATGTATTTATAATATGGAAGGAAGATCATGGTATGACATGACTACTATGGATAACTGAAGTAAATATACTAAAAGGTAATGTGAATCAGTACATATATTATAATACTCATCACTCACTCATTCTGAGGTGAAGGGTATTCTTTGAAAAGTCAATAATTGTTACCGAACTTCTCAAATAACTCACTCTCTTTATGGAACCTGAAGGCTCATCACTGTATTTACAAATGCCTATTACTGGACTCTGTCCTGAGCTAGCTACTCATTTCTGACTAAAATATTACATCATATGAATGACAACAGGATACAGAAACAAAAAGACATTCCAGCTTTTCTACTTTTGTTTCACTTATACACACCTATATCCTACAAAACTACACAAAAAGTAAAAACTGTCACCTTCTTTCTGTGTTCAGTTTTTCCTATATTAAAAACAGAATACACATGATTAAAATAATAAAAAAAAAAAAAAATGGGTACATCACACACAACAGATTAAGTCTCAATTACAGTACATAACTGATCATTTGAACTACCACCTCATGTACAAACTGAAGTTTTACCAAACAAACTCACATACATTCATCATATGTTCATTCCTTTTTGCCATGATTTATCTACTCAGGATGCAAAATTTATTTTTATCTTTAATTTTAAATTATATGTATTTACATGATTATTTTTTAATAAACATGAAAAATACGTTTAAAAAGTAAAAATGAAGAATGAATTGAACTGATGAGGATGGTGAGGAAATGGCAGAAAACACTGCAGCCAAGTTTCTGAAGAAAATCCTTCAAGCACAACAAAACAGAACAACAAGGCAGGAACTGGACAACAAATGTGCCAGCTTAAATATGAGCACTACCATTGTTTAACTTATTTTAAAAAACAACTTTTCAAACGTAGGATTTGAGATTTTCATGACAGTCTGAAGACAGCCATCAACTTTTTAAACACGTTTAAAACCTGTATTTAATACCTGCACACTAATAAAAATATAGATCGGATCTTCCCTCGTTCCTCCGTGAGAACGTGGGTTTTAATACACAACCGCTTTCTTCCAAATCGCTCCCTACGCAACCATGATCGTATATCACATTTTAACGGCACATACACTCTATACTACATACAGCTACCTTATATAACCTATGCTACAACCTTAGACATATCTGCATATACAAAATGAAAGCATTATCAAAAAACAGTGTTTGTATAATATTATAGTAGATGTAAATAATGTGTATAAAAAGTAGCCTTAGCATGTCTGCCGATTATTATTTCGTATAGTTCTACGTATATAAAACGCTACAAATTGTAACTGGCCAGCTTGAAGACGTAGCGTAAAATGAATGGTCAAATCAGATACGTTACATGAATTTATCAACAAAAATAAAATTAAATGGTTAATACTGGGCTCATGTCCCGAATTCTATCAAAATAACGAGTATTGTATAACATACGATTTCAATCCAAACTAAACTAAACAAAGAATCAAGGTGTAAATAACGACTACCTACGCCCAACACTTTACATACAAAATAAAGACACATACCACATGGTGGTGATTACTGTTGACCGTTATTGTTTTCCTTGTCAAAACACTTTATATAATCTTCCAGATCCACGCACACACACATTGCATGTCCCACCCTAGTAAAAAATGGAAGGTGTTTGCAAAGTAAAATAACTTAAATATTATATTTTTCGTTAATATTCACAATCACAGGAACAGCACTAGTTTCCTACAAAAATGTCTCATTTATATATTCACTGCGAAAACAACACTCATCTACAAAACCTACCCGCGGAGAGACTCGTCTGCACCAGTCAACAACCCGAATGAGTGCGATCCAAACGACTAATCGCCAGGTGGCATTCATATCGGACTGCTGCCAACTGATGAAAGTAACATGTTTGTTTCCACCGGTGTCACGCGAAGCATAACCATACAATCTTAGACAAACTACCTTATAACTCTCAAATTATACCAATATAACTGTGGTCGGGTGAAATCCCCAATACATCTAAGTCTGCATCACAAGTATGTCTTACCTTTGTTACAAACCGATGTTGGTAAATAACTCCACTTAAATTCCCTTTTACTTAATAAACAAGCAATTTTTC